TGTTGTTGTCTGCCACCTTTCTATGCTTTATATATATATAAATATATATTGTATATGTATATATAACCGGCTTTTGTTGTGTGCCACACACACACACACTCGCACACGCACATTTTTCGCTGAGCTTGGTGGCTCTGGCATAGTTTCCTTATCATTCTTATCACCCCAGCCATATTTTATTGCCATTTTTGTTTGCTTCGGCCATTTGTGCTCGGCAGGCAAATTGAAAAGCAACAGCAAGGCCTACGAATAGGCCTTTCGCCATAGAGCATTCTGTGCCTTGGCCTGAATTGACAGCGAGTTTAATTAATTTTCCAGTCCCTCATGTGGATATAGAGTACAATTATTTGTTTTCACTCTAAACATTTTTCCACTTGAGATCGTTTTGTGTGCGTGCAAAATAAAACAAATTCCAAATTCCGCTCAGTTGCACTACTCGAAAATTCCTGTCAATTCCCGAATTGCTTTTAGTTGAAAATGTTCTATTTTTTCTTTTCGCCTCATATATCTGAAAAGTGCTGAGGATTGCTGCATTTGTATAAACAGAAAGAGAGAGAGAGGGGAAACTAAAATATTTCTGCTGACTGACATGGCCAGAACATGGAAATCTGCGTTTTTTTTTTTTGCTTATATATGCAAAATACTAAATCGGAAATTGAAGAAAATCTTTGACGATGTGTCAGCAAGCGGCGTCATCTGCTAGCCTTCATATCATGTTGACCAATACTCAATCATGTTTCTCAAAAAAATAAATTCTCAAAATAAATAAAATAATAATAATAATAATAAACATTTCTCAAGCCAAAAACGTGTAAAAATTTTCATTTACAACTTAAAGTGGCGCCATCTGTTGTTCATTGCTTTAAATTAAAGCTTAATAATCAGCTTCAATTTAAATTTCCATATAAAATTGCATATTATCATAAGAGAATAAAAAGGCAAAGCGAAATTAATTTATATATTTTTCAATTTGTCGGACTTCTTAATCGCATAAAGTAAGATAATTAAATATAAATTGTAAGAGAAATAAAAAAACGATGAAATATGCTTAACGACTTAAGCATTCGCCGTCTGCTGGTCATCATATTAAGTCCAAGCGAATGGCTTTGCTTTAACATAAATTTAAATATGTATACAAGAAATATAATTCACTTATTGAGAGCTCGAAACTTGCTTCATATATATATATATATAGATACAAATACGCGTGTTTGTATATACCTATATTTTCTACAGAAATTACAAGAGCTTCTTAACATAATTAATGGTGCATAAATTGTTGATTAGCTAATTAAAGTTGGGCTCGCAATCAAATGACACTAAGCAGATTACACACGCGCACAGGCGCAGCGGCAACGGAAGTAGGCAGCAGGAGGCGTGGCTGAGAGTGTGAAGGAATAGCCTAACCAGAACGCCATTATCTATGTGTATTAATTTTCATCATTAGATTTGCCAGGGAAATGATTAAAAAATGAAATAAAAGCCGCGCTGCTTGGCAACTGTCGGGAAAAAATATAATTTTAAAGAGAAGCGACTATTTTTATTTTGTAGTATTGGTAAAGCGAGTTTATATTTATTTATTTACATGTATATATATTTATGATAAGACCGCATCTTGTGTAGATCTAATACTTGCCTTTCGTTTTTAATAGGCTTCATTTTATTCCTTTGTGCTCCAAATACGAGCAGCCGAAAGCCCTTTTATGTTCTCGAGTTACCAACCTGTCCTAGATGGATATTTGCCTTAAGCTTCGCTGCGCCTTACGTCTCCTTGCGTCCTTCGTCGTTTCGCTCCTGTCAAGTGGCAGCAAAGCCAGCGTTGCGTATACGAAAAGTTTAACACTTGCCACTTGCCACACAGACACAAAAAAAAAAAGAACTTGGCCAGTATATATATATGTATATGTATATATGTATTTGTATGTCTTAACAGACTCTCTGGTCTGTCATAAAAAGTGGGAGGTTGTTAGCGGGCAGTCTAGGAATAGGAAGTACCCTGTAGTACTTTGCTATAAAGTGCTGCTAATCAAAAGGGCAAGTCTGCATGGTGTCTGAGTGGATGTAAACTGAATGAGTTTTACTTTGTTTAGTTTCTTAGCTGCTCTTGAATTTACCGTTGATCGTTTTTGCATAGGTGAGCAAAAGTACATGAAACAAGATATAAAATTATGTAAGAGGGAAAATTGATATAAAGGCGTGAACATAAGAAGACAGATAGAAGGCAGAAATAGATAAAAATTGTTTAAAAATGTGATGAATAAAATTAAAAAAAATATATAAATATATAATATAATATATATAAACGTAAGAAAATATTCATTTAATAAATTAAGCATAAATAAATAATTAAAATACTTTAAGCCAGTTACGCAGAGTTATAGACATATATCTATAACAACTCAAACCATTATTTCTCACTTTCGTCCGCCATTTTCTCAATGACTGTTGTATTCGTTGCCAGATAAACATTACACTCTTTATATCCATTTTTAATGAGTATAACTGCAAAATAAACACAAGAAATTGACCGTCATTTGTTTTCTTGACACTTTGAAGAGCGCCCAGAGTGCTGAGGCTTATTTTTTTACATATTTTTTTTGTCTTCTGCCCTTTCTTTGTATCTTCGCAGATAGGCATAAAGAACGGGTTAAGTCTGAACGGGCGACAATGGATACGCCGTTGTCAATGTCGCGTCCAACTTTGCATAATTTCGCACTGTCACTAAATAAGTCGGCAGATGATATTAATAATGCCTCATTATCGCATCCCATTCCATTTTTCAGCACCGTTCTGAAATATGCTAGCTGCGGCCATTTATCATAATCAAAGTGAGACTGGAGAGTCGACCTTCAAAATTTCGATATGCCTAGTATCCTTTTCTCTATTCTTTTATATTTTTTTTATGCGTATCCCTGCTCGTTGAGCAAATTAGCTGAACTTGTGGCTTCCAATTGTTATTGATGGCCCAGTATTGAGTGGCTCTTGGTGTCTGCCTTGAGTGCTTTGCTGTTAGATTTTGAAAATGCTTGAATGATTGCAGTGTAATTTATTCACTTAATGTGCGAGCTCGACTTGACTCAAATGCAATTCATGAAATTGCAATTAATTTCAGACATCAATGATAAATTTGAGAAGTCATTTGTGCCTTGGCTCGTTAATTTGCATAGCGAAATTTGAATTTTCTTTATAGTTTAGCTTATAGATGCTTTAGCTTTTATGCCAATACAAAGAAGTTTTTTATATTGAGGTTGA